CACACACACACACACACACACACACACACACACACACACACACACACACACACACACACACACACACACACACACTCCTATATCCGGTTCACCTGCTGCAGCATGGGCATGCACAAACCCAGTGGCTAATGTGTCTGGGATTCGGGATTGCCTTGCGGTATCCATACTAGTGTGGTTCCGTTGTCGTGGGGGCTTGCTGAACTCCGAGATCCAAGCCTTGGATTTGGGTGTGAGGGAGATATCGTTGCGACTAGGGCGGTACCGAGCAGCTACCGTCACAAAAATTGCATTTTTGAACTCGCGGTTGTTTTCTTTGCGGGCGAGCTTTTTTTTTTGCTTTTGCGAACTCAAAACGTGCCTAATCTACTTGTTTCAATTATTATAAAATCGACTATTTCTTGTCTCTAATTTGATTCATTCTTTTCAAAATTGTTTGAATCCCATCTTAATCTACTATTGTTAATCTAATAATACAATAACAGATTGTGAATATGAATACAAAGGTTTTGTTGCAGGGGATAGTACCCGGGAATCCGGGATACTTTTAACTTTTCCCAATAAAGAAAGATGAATTATGAAGTAAACTTTCATGTCAGATAACTGATGAACAGTCATGAACTTCCATCATACAGATAATGCTTCAGACAATCGAAAGCATTTCGCATTAAAAGGGCGGGACCGAAACTTCTATCATGTTTGATCCAGCAAGCAAATTGAAACTTATAATTATTATTATTATTATTTTTAGCAAATTGAAACTTCTTTGCAAGGGATATCGAAAGATTGATCGAGCAATTCTAGGCCATACTCACACTAGCACTTTCCTAAATGCATCTGGGTTCAATTATGGCCAAACCTGAATGCATTTGACTGCAATCACGTCTAGATTCCAGAGTTCAGTGCACACTATAGGTACATCCAACCTGCCACCTGATAGTGCAGTTACGGCCAAAGTTTAACCTGTAACATGTACCCACTGAGAACCCGGCCCCTATCCTCGACAGTGTACATTCTACAACAGGTGTGCTCCTCCTCACACATCATCACAATAGAGTAAACACTAATTAAAACAGCCATGATTTCGTTAAATGGGACATTTTATAGTTGTGAATGAAATTGAAACTGAATTATTTGGCCCAAAAAATGTCACGTTTATAGGTATCGGAACTGCAGCTGAGTCTAGATGCATCCAAGTGGTGTCCAGCGGCCATTTTCAGAACGTCACAGTGCCACCCTCAGGAGGTGAAAAGGTGAATTTTTTAGGGCCAAATAACTTGAAATAAGTAGGTTTCAATTTTGTTCAAAAACTATAAAATGCCCATTTTAATAAAATGTACGTTAGAAGTAGACAGGGTGCCAAAATCTTACTTAAATAAAGGTACATCCCTTGGAGATCTTAAGCCACCAGGACTTGGCCCACACATCGGCCGAAGGAAAAAGTCCGAGTAGAAGCGCTTCTATCCGGATGAACTGAAGTGCCAATGCGTGGGCCGGTTCGGAAATCATTGTCACAGCTTGTTTTTTTACCGCCGTGACTTTCGCCAAGTACTGGTGGTTTAAACCACCAATTTACAGTGGGTGTTTATACATGTTCATTGATATTGGGTGATTCTGTAGAGTCTTGTTCTAGTAGGCTAGTAGGCTAGTAGTAGGCCTTGAATTTTCATGAATTTCTCTCGATCAATCTCATTTTTCTCAGCCGAAGCGGGCTAATAGCCCCGGCATATCATGTTCTTTGTACCTTCATGAGGGACACCGGGCGCAGTTCCCAGCACGTGTTGCTCCCCACGAATAGGTGCGAACATTTGTTCGCCCCTTGTTCGCCCCCCCTCTTCCCCCCCCCCCACACACACAAAAGAAAAAAGGGAAAAGAAAATGCACAGACCCAACAAATAGAGGTAATCTATGCATGGTCATTATTCCTGGGCCACGCATGTTTNTTTTTTTTAAGGGGCCCACTGCCCAGTGCCCAAGGCTGATATTACCAATAAGAGGAATGAGGCTGGTTTACGCATGTTAAAAATAGTCGTAATGAAATTGATAGCAGTAATATTGAGGAAACACCCGATACCAGCATCTCTGGAAGTCCGTATACAAGCCGCAACATGCTGAGGTCAACAGGCCTGGACTGCAGCGCCCGAATTCATTCAAGTGGAAATGGTTCTGCTTTTTGTTTCTCACAGTCAATATACGGCCAGGGTACTGGTGGCTTAAAGGCAAATCCCATGTCTATTTCTTGCCGAAGCAAAGTGACACTGAGCCTTCAACTATTGAACTCAACCAAGATAGAGGACATCCGGGTAGCTATATTATTAATTTATATTATTACTAGGCTGTTTTTCAAGGTGCCCGGGCACCCAACTTGTCCCCGGATACACGCCCGGGTGCGCAGCCGGGCATGACCCCCGGGACCTTGTCCCACTTCGTCCGTTGAGATAGGTCCACGTTTAGTTTTGTACGCCGTGTGACTGTAGGCGACGAAGGAGATGCACGCCCTCGCAATCGTCCAGCGGTCCGCTCTAAGACTTTTTTTAAATTGTGAATAGATATTATCGCGTTTTTTTATTCCAACAAAATAGGCTAAGTTCCAAAAATGACGTTTTCTCGAATGCTACGCCCCCTACCCTCGCCACTTTCCGTTGAGCTAGCTGTCTCCTTTTTTGGAGACAGCCAATTCAATGACCGTTGGCGTCCTTTCTGGAGTTTTTTTTTTTATAATGTTATTTTATTATGTTTTGTGAAATCTGTGAAGTAGCTTGTACTTTGCTATTTTCGTGCGACTTTTGAAGGACCGAATACGCGTGAACTATGGGCAATTTGGTGCGACCTTTCAAGGACCACATATGCGTCAACTACCTGAATAGGGCAACTCTTTATAGGATTGGAGCGACTCTTCGGACTTCATGTATGCCATTCCAATTATGGGGAAAAAAAAAAGAAAGAATTCTATCTTAGGCGGATTTTTTAATGCATTTCTGAATTTGAAATGAATTAAAAAAACCAATTTCAGCCGTCACGCCGTTGAGCTAGGTCCACTAAACGGTGCATGTGGGACAAGGTCCCCGGGATGGGTTCCGGGTAGCTACAACGCAAAAAAAAAAAAAAAAAAAAAACAAAAAAAAAAAAAAAACACGCTTCCCGAAAAAAACATATGTTGTGTAGAATTGCAATACGAACGACTTTTGGGATAGGTTCACATCCGAATTCCTCACCAAATTGGAGATAAAAAAAGGAAATATCAAAATCACACTAAGGCACCCCCCTTTAAACCCCCTTTAAACAAATTTATACCCCCCTTCCCCCCACTTGACAGCCAACTCTCAAATAAACAAAAGAGCCTGAATTTGGGGTCCTCTGGGAGAGCGCAGAAAGGGGGTGGATTTTTTTAATTTTTTTATTTTTTTTTTTTGCACGCCTTGGTACCCCAGGTGTCGCGTCTGGGCATAAAAATCTTCCTTGTATTATTATTAAGTATTAATTATTATGATTTAATAATAATAGTTAATTTATGAGTATTCTAGCCTTCGAGGTTGTTTTTCCGGGCGCCCGGGCGTGTATGACCCCCGGTCAGGGTTCCAGGCAGCCCCCCCGGTCAGGGTTCCGGGCAGCCCCAGCGCCAAAAATTTGGCTGAGGGTCACATCAGAATTCCTCACGGAATCGGAGGTAGAAAAAATAATAACAAAATCACACTAATGGACCCCCCTTTAACCCCTCTTAGCCCCTTTAAAAACAATTTATACCCCCTTTTCCCCCCCTTGACAGCCAACTCTTAGAAAATGAAACAAGCCCGGATTTGGGGTCGTCTGGTAGAGCGCAGAAAGGCAAGCAAAAAAAAAAAACAAAAAAAAACGGGTACGCCGGGCGTCACGACCGTCCTTATGTAATTAATTCATAGCCTGCGTAGCACACAGAACATGTTCGACGCCCCACCGAGCAGCCGAACATGTTCGGACACTCGGCCGAGTGGGAACGGAACATATTCGGCTGAGCGCAAATCAGGGGGCTGCCGAACTCGTCCTCGTGTGTAAGTGGTGTGTGGGGTGTGTGTGGGGTGTGTGTGTGTGTGGTGTCACTGGTGTGTGTGTGAGTGTGTATGTGTGTATACATGTTCAGGAGTGATGAGCAATGCCCCCAGGCCCCCCCCAACCCCTATATATATTTCAAAAAAAAAAAAAAAAAGTTCGGGCTTGGTCTATTTTGGGCCACGTTCGGGCTCGGTACCAAGCGTTCGGGTTCGGTCACCGAGCCCAAACGCGATGCTACGCAGTTCATAGCTATGTTGTTTTGTTCATCTGATCACATGTGGAGAGTCTCATCACGAATCTGTGTGACGGGTGTTAAGTTTGTTTGATTATTGTTGAAGCAGTTGGATTGTTGTTGGATCTGGTGAGCGTTTTCTACATCTGAAGCTAATTGTCTCTCCATGCTATGATTGTATACTATACTCTGCTGTTGTGACTTTTTTTTTTGTTTGTTTATAAAAGACGCTCCCCTGAGTTGTCGGAGGTATTGATAAGAGCTGCTCAATCGACTATGTATCGCAGGAGCCGCAAGATTCCGCCGCAAGAAAACAGCAGCAAGGACAAAAATCACATGAGGCAATTGAAAAAGAGTGGCGAGCTCTTCGAGGTGTGCCCGCTGCATCCTTCGCTACATTTTTTTTTTTCTTTCTTTCCCTGCACAACAAATCAGTTATTGAATTGGACTGAGTCATGGATGACGTTTTTTTCCTAACATTCCAGCAAACAGTGATTTAAATTTGTTAAAATGCTAGGAAGTTTTTCATGCCCGGCCGGGCACCCGGCGTGCAAAAAAAAAAAAAAAAAAAAAAAGTTTTTTTTTTTYTTTTCTGCGCTTTCCCAGAGGAAACCCAAATCCGGGCTCGTTTCATTTTTTGAGAGTTGGCTGTCACGGGGGTCAAGGGAGGTATAAATTATTTTTAAAGGGGCTAAGAGGGGTTAAAGGGGGGGGCCGGCCCTTAGTGTGATTTTGTTATTTTCTTTTTTATCCCCGATTCGGTGAGGAATTCTGATGTGACCCTCAGCCAAAAGTTGTTTGTATTGCAATTCTACTTAACGTCACCCTAATTATTTCTAATTAACGTTGGTAACCTTAACACTAAAGCACAAACCAACTAGTGTCTAATAAACTTTAACCACCTGTGTAACCGCTTGAACGCCGTGAACGCACGTTCGCATTCAAATGTGCATTTGAACGCGGATTGCGCGTTCGCGTTCAAAATTGAACGGCGTTCAATTATTTTTTTATTTTTTTATTAAAAAAAAATCATTTTAATGCCTAAAAATAACGTTTTGTTTCTGATTTTTTTTTAATGAGTTGTGTATGATGTGAGGTACATGCCTCTCAATTTTGGAGTCATTTTGCTAAGGGAAAAAAAAAAAAAAAAAAAAAAAATCGCCAAAGATAGCGGTATCAAATCGTGTTCGCTCACTAATTTCAATTCTTTTTTTACTTTTTTTATTTTCTGTTTTCTATTTTTTTTCCCAATTTGGTAACGAATTTAGATGTAATGCTCAGGCAAAGAAAGACATCGCTGAGGAGGGCAGCTGCGCTGCGTTAGCGCAGAGCTAACGCTGCGCTGCGCTGCACCGGTCTCGAATTTTTGAACCCTAAGGGCACTTGGAGCATCGTGAGGAGGGTGACGCCTTCGCGCTCGAATACCGCCGTTGCATCCCGCCTGTGGGCCCTCCTCCTTGCCAGTAGGCAAGCAGGGGTGGGATTTGGACGACGTTCTCTTCCCCCCCCTCCCTTATATCGAAATTGCAACCAGGTCAGCGCATTCGCGCCTGGTCTTAGATATGGAGTCCTTACTGCTGCTGTACTTGTCTTTCTCAGTGCTGGAGAGGTTTCCCGAAGACTGCATTGCCGTTGACTTATGCCGTGCGGAACAAAGACGGGATTTCGACTGGATTTCGACGCGTGGGGCATTGAGACTTCGGCTTCCTTTCGTGATCGACTTTTGCCAAGTGTTCGTGGTATGCTTGTATTTGTCACACACACACACACACACACACACACACACACACA